CTGATTTAATTAAACATTATCGGCCACGGTGTGCACGATAGCACAACCGACGGCTTTAGTTCGAACCCTCGACCGAACATGAACTTTTCTCGGGCAATCTTAAGAGACCGACCATAATACACTATTTAAAGGCTGTTGGAACATGAATCGCTCGAACAAACATGATCACAATGAAAGATAGCATGATAAGGACATGAGACGGCCCGTGGGCGTGCGCTACGTGCGCAGCCCATTTCCTTAGGCCAATTCATGGACAAAACAACAACTTGTCTCGAGCTATCTTTCTTGACTGAACATTAGACATTAAATAAGGACTAATGACACATAAATCGCTCGGACAATATTGACTTAATAAAGAGATGGCTCGACACGACTCTAATTCGCAATATCGAGAGCTATTATGATCATTTCATGAACTTAGGCATATAATTTAGGTTTAGCATGAGCATGATAGCATTAAAATGAAGTCAGTATGAGATTTACCCTTCGATCTCCCGACGAAAAGTGACAAAATTCAAGTGATCGTTCGATCCCTTCTTCTCGTTGCGTGCGTGCGTGTGTTCTTGCCTTAATCTCTCTTAACCTCACTTAATTTGTGCTAATGATAAGCTAATCTCTCTTTTTACTGATACTGAATGTTGAGACTTGGGCGTGAGGTAAATTCTCCCTCATTCTATATAATGTGGGCGGATGAAAATGGTGAAAAAGAATGAAAATGCCTTAGCCAATCATATATCACTATTTGTCACCAACCTAAGGCTTGAGGTGTAAACTAAATTGCTTAGTCACCCTCTTAGCAACTCATAGGCTTCCATGTGTACCAAGCCATCATGAATTTCACGTGAATTGGGAGAAGACATGACCTTCGGCCTTTAAGGATAACTAAGCATGATTTAAGTAATAATTAACTTGTTTGACCTAACTAAGCATTGCCGTGCAATAGGAGTTAATAGACGAGCATGATCCTTGCTTAGGGTTAAACTAAGTATGATTAACATGATTTCTTGATAATACCCGACGATTAGCTCATGCTTATTATACTTAAGCTCGGTAAAATATTTATCGAGCGATTAACATGAATTAGATATCGGAAAAATTATTCCGAACATAAACGTGATATTCAAAAATTAATTCGAACATTCTTGACTTGGATAAATAGTTCCGAACAATAACCCTCTTAACAAAATAATTATTTTGGAACTAAACATGATATTACATTAATTAACATGACAGGATATTACAATCTGCCCCCTTAAAATATTTTCGTCCTCGGAAATACAAAACGGGACATATATACATGAAACATAAAAGAACATATACATCAGAACTGAAAATCGGGAAAACGAGAGCGAATATCAGCCTCCTGCTCCCAATTAGCTCCGTGGCGATCCCACCGAATACGAACGAGGGGAACATCACGCTTCCGGAGCCGTCGAACCTGTCGGTCCAACACAGCTACTGGTCGCTCCTCGTAAGATAAATCTAGATGGATCTGAATATCGGTATGAGGAATGACATGATCGGGGTCGCACACGTACTTACGTAACATGGATACATGAAAAAAATTATGAACGCTAGATAACTCGGGAGGTAAGGCTAATCGATACGCAACGTCGCCCACTCGCTCGAGTACTTTGAACGGGCCAATGAATTGAGGGTGTAACTTCCCTCTCTTTCCGAATCGAATAACTCCGCGAAATGGACTAACTCTGAGAAAAGCTCACTCGCCAACCTCGAACTGAATGTCTCGTCGATGCTGATCGGCTGAAGATTTCTGTCGACTCTGAGCTGTCTTGAGTCTCTGCCTGATCAACTCGACCTGTTCTGCCGTCTCCTCGATCAATTTCGGACCGATTACTCGACGTTCACCGACGTCGTCCCAATAAAGAGGGGAACGAAACTTACGAACGTAAAGTGCCTCGTAAGGAGCCATCTGAATAGAAGAATGATAACTGTTGTTGTACACGAACTCAACATATGGCAAATAACGACTCCCACTTAGCACCCCTGTCACAACCAAAGCCCGTATCATATCCTCCAACGTCTGAATGGTCCTCTATGTCTGACCGTCAAACTCTGGATGGTAGGCTGAACTGAATGATAGCTTCGTGCCCATCGCCTCGTGCAAACTCTGCCAGAACCTGCTAGTGAATCCGAGATCTCTGTCTGACACGATAGTAACGGGCACTCCGTGGAGTCGAACGATCCCACGGGTATAAATCTCAGCCAACTTGTCCAAAGACATATTCATCGATACTGGCAAGAAATGAGCAACCTTAGTCAATCTATCGACCACGACCCAAATAGCGTCGTGATGTTCAGACGACTTCGGTAACCCCGTGACGAAATCCATCGTAACCTCCTCCCACTTCCACTTCGGAATCGGCAGTGGTCATAGAAGGCCTATGGGACTCTTGCGTTCGGCTTTGACTTGCTGACAGGTTAAACATTTCTTCACAAAGTCGGCTACGTCTTTCTTCAATCCTCGCCACCAGAACGACCTTTTCAGGTCATGATACATCTTAGTACTTCCTGGATGGGCTAGATATGGTGCGGTATGAGCCGCAGTCAGAATCTCCTTCTTCAACGCTTCGACTTTTGGCACCACAATCCTGCCACGAAACTCCAAGGCCCCATCAGTGCCTTGGTGAAAACCCTCGACTCCTCCGGTGTGGACTTTATCATCAATGACACGAACAAATTCGTCAGAAGCTTGTTCCCACTGGATTCTCTCTCTCAGCGTCGGCTGAACCTGCATAGAACTAACACTCCCCGTAATGGCTGTAGGAAGTGCATCAACCACCTGAATCTGCATCCGGGCGAACTCCTGAATCAACTGGCTCTGCTGAGTAACAACATACGTCAAATCATCCTTCACCTTGCGGCTTAGGGCATCAGGAACAATATTTGCTTTCCCCGGATGATATTGAATCGTGCAATCATAACCCTTGACGAGCTCTAACCAACGGCGTTGTCTGATGTTGAGCTCCTTCTGAGTAAAAATATACTGCAAGCTCTTATGATCGGTGAAAATCTCGCATCGACCGTCGTATAGATAATGTCGCCAAATCTTGAGGGCATGAACAACTGCAACTAACTCCAAGTCGTGCGTCGGATAGTTCTGTTCATGTGGTTTGAGCTGGCGTGAAGCATAAGCAACCACCTGGCCCTCCTGCATAAGTACACATCCCAAACCCTGTCTTGAAGCATCACTGAAAATGGTGACACTCCAAGAAAGATCGGGAATAGTCAACACCGGTGCTGAAGTTAGCCTTTTCTTGAGCTCCTGAAAGCTCGATTCACATCGATCAGTCCATTCGAACTTCACAGACTTCCTCTTCAGCTGGGATAAAGGAAGGGCAATCTTAGAGAAGCCCTCAATGAATCTGCGGTAATAACCAGCCAAACCGAGAAAGCTGCGAACCTCGGATGGACTTTTCGGTGTCGACCAGTTTTGAACAGCTGCAACTTTGGATGGATCGACCTCAATACCTGTTTGCGTAATCACATGACCAAGAAAGGCTACTCGCTGGAGCCAGAATTCGCACTTGGAGAATTTTGCATATAATTTTTCTCGTCTAAGGGTTTCAAGGACAACCCTCAGATGCTCCTCGTGTTCCTTCTGGCTCTTGGAGTAGATAAGAATATCATCAATGAAAAAATGACAAACTGATCGAGATAGGGATGGAAAATACGGTTCATCAGATCCATAAATACAGCTGGCGCATTGCTGAGACCGAATGGCATGACAATGAACTCGTAATGACCGTAACGAGTACAGAAAGCAGTCTTGGGAATGTCTGACTCCTCAATTAAGCCTGATCGCAAATCAATCTTAGAGAAAACACAAGCTCCCCTCAGTTGATCAAATAAATCGTCGATCCTGGGAAGCAGATATTTGTTCTTTATCGTCAACCGGTTAAGATCCCGGTAGTCGATACACATGCGTATGGATCCGTCCTTCTTCTTGACAAATAGAACGGGTTCTTCCCATGGTGACACGCTCGGTCGAATGAAACCGCGTTGCAATAACTCCTGAATTTGCACCTTAAGCTCCTGCAATTCTTTTGGAGCCATACGATAGGGTGCTTTAGAAACTGGGCCGGCTCCTGGAATCAGGTCAATAGAGAACTCTACCTGCCGGTTAGGTGGTCCTCCTGGAAGCTCATCCGGAAACAGGTCCACAAACTCATGAACAATAGGAACGTCGTGAGGTGTTCGTGCCTTCAGAGAATTATCAACGAGGCTGACGAGATAACCCTGACAGTTGCCTCGTCGCAACATCTTCTTGGCTTTCGCCATAGAAATAACATGGGGCAAGAAACGAGTCTTAGTACTAAAGAAAGTAATCTGATCATCTCCCGGAAGATAAAGGGTAATCTCCCGGTCATGACATCGGATATCTGCATGAAAACGTGTTAGCCAATCCATGCCGAGTATGAGGTCAAAGTCCCTCATCTCGAGAACATAAGCGTCGGTAGACAATATACGGCCACCGATAGAAAGGCTGAGATCCGTGGCTTTGGCAGAAGTCACTATCTTTCGTCCTGAGGCTAAACTCACCTCGAGAGGATCGACAGCGGTAATGGCATGAACTCTGATGGCATCGAGACATCATCGTGATATAAAAGAGTGAGTCGCTCCAGTATCAAATAAGGCAAAGACAGGAATATCGTTTAGCATAAGCATCCCAGACATGGTACCTGGGTGTTGTTCCGCCTCAACCTGATCGACCGCATAAACACGTTGGACTCTGCAGTCTGCCCCTCTGTTGCTGCTGAGGTGGCCTTTGAGCCTGCTGACGGGGCTGCCGCGGCTGCTGTGGCTGCTGTTGGAGTTTCTTCGGACAGCGGTTAGCAAAATGTCCGGGCTCGTGACAATAATAACAAATATCCTGGCCAACGTGACACTCTCCACGATGAAGTCGTCCGCAAATGGGGCACTGTGGAATCTGCTACGGCCTCTGTCAGGTTCTCCTGTCCGTCAGGGCGCCTTTCCCTTTCCTCTTGTTGTTCTTCCATGGTTGAGCAATAGCTGGTGGAACTGGTGGAGCTGTGGATGACGGGGCAGGGGAAACTGGCTGCAAACGATCATGGTTTGCCTCTCTTCGAATGCTGGCGTCCACCTCCTGTGCAATGGCAATGGTACGAGCGTACGTCTTGGTCCCGTGACCTACAATGTTGTGACGGACCGCTGGGTAAAGCCCGTCAGTGAAATGCTGTGCTCGCTGTGCCTCAGTACGCACCATGTCAGGAACAAAAGCTCCGAGTCTGGTGAACTCTCTCTCGTACTCATCAACAGAACGAGTACCCTGTCTGAGCGACAGAAACTGCCGCTCCATCTCAGCTCGGTAGTACGTGGGATAATACTTCTCACGAATCATCTCCTTAAATCTGTCCCAGGTACAACCTTCTTTCTCGTCGGGACGCATACTCCAGTAGGCATTCCACCAGAGTCGAGCATCACCGGTCAACTGAAGCTGTGCGCAAGTAACGCGATAGCGATCTGGACAGTCCATGACCTCAAAAATTAATTCGAGGCCGTGAACCCATTCGTCTACGATACGAGGGTCTCCCTGACCGGAGAATTTCTCTGGTCGGTAGTCGCAGAATTGTGCGACTGTCGTGGCCTGGGGAACCACCAGATGATCGGGTTCTCTACGGGGCGGCATCTGAATATTGGAAATATTTTAACATGATCAAAATACAAGGAAAATACTTTAACTGATCATTAAAGCGCACAAATCTCTTGACGAGTTGCTAAACATGACTGGGAAATACTAACTGATATCCTGAACTACTGATCCTGAACATGATTCGAGCATCTTAACTATATTATAACTGAGAAAATTCTGAGCACAGATATAGTAATTTGTTTATAATTTAAAAACATGAATCAGCACTTACCTGTAGTCGGCGAGGCGTGAGCTTGACGTGTTCAGGTTTTCAAAAATTTTCTGACTCGTGAAAATTTTCAGAGACGCAGAAACGTGCTCTGTTACCAACTGTAACACCCCGCTTTAACATGAAAATCAGAGTACAGTTTTTGCAAGTTTTTCGAACTAAAATCATTTAAATTGCGAAATACTGATTCAGAGTGCTACCATAATAAATGACTTACTTTCAAATCAGACTTTTTTTACGAAAACAGACTCACAATCTGCTGACTGGTCAAAAGGGCTAAGTTTGAAAAAAAGTGAAACGTCAGCGGAAACTGTAGTGGTAAAACATGATAACAGTGCTGCGATCATGTAAATAAGTCTCCGGGAGATAGCAGCAGCACTGCTATGCTAAATTCAAATTGTACAAAACGTAATTTAAACTTTATAAGCATAACTCCCGTATAATTTAAACTTTATAAGCATAATCCTGAACCTATCGCCATCTCACACCTCCGGTTCGACTTCATGACCTGAAAAACATGATAAAAGTGGGGCGTGAGCACTAAAGTCCACTGTGCTCCATAGGAACTCATACTAAAGTAAACAGTGAAAATAATTACAATAACATGATCCTGGCATATATAACTGAACTGAACTGAAACCGGTACTGAATAATCATAATCTGATACTGATGGTGAGATAATCATCACCTGCCTGATACCTGAACATCTGCCAGCATAAATGCCGGACACCATGTGCACACTCTAGTGGGCAGACTAAGGCCACTAGAACCCAGAATGGACTGGCGACCATTCTAAGAGGATACTGATAATACATACCTCAAACATGGTAGAGTAATTATAATCAATGTAATACCCAGTCTGAGTCCCCACCTGATCCGTCTGAATAAAAAGGTAGTGCTGATATTTGTATCTTGATCAAACTGAAAAATAATATAAACAATTACTAAATACTATGCTCAGACTGATAAAAATAACTTTTTAATATGTTAAGATGCTCTATTAAACTTAAACATGATATTTGGATTTAACCGGTATAACCGAAACCGGCTAAAATCGGAACTGAACTGACATGAATTTACTGAACTAGACTGGACCCGGAATTTAACTAAAATTGGAAC